TTGTGGGATGTTGCTGATGTTAACTTGTTTGAGACAGAGTGTTTTGTAGCCCAGGTTAGCCTCAAGCTCATTTCATAGCCAAGATGATCTTGAATTTCTGTTCGTCTTGCCTCTACTTCCTGTAATGGGGTGAGCTACCATACGCAGCTCTAAATCTGGGGATTCTTTTTTCATGTTACTGATGGTTGTATTGCATGGTTCTCTGATTTTGTATATGTATTGCCATGTCCCTGCAACTGAAAAGGGGGTGACATTTAATCATCCCTGCTGTTCCAGTGTTCAGGAGATGGTAAGTGTTAGGATTTTGTAGAACTGCATTCATATGTGGAGACTCCTGAAGAATGTTGGAAGGTTGTCAGCAGGCATCATTGTGCACAAACAGGGCAAAGGTCCTTCTTTTCCTCCACAGGAATGTGGTCCTAGAGAGAAACCAGCACACACATTCTGCAGACACTGATCAGTGTGTGCTGGTGGACACACTATTTCTACACAGCAGTTAAATGTGTTCTGATATTTTTCTGTCTTGATTTTGCTTTATTTGCTTGTTCATTGTTTTGTTTTGTTGAGACAGGGTCTCACTATATAGCTCTTGGATGGCCTGCAACCTACTATGTAGACCAGGCTAACCATTGACCTGCCTCTGACACCCAAATGCTGGGATTAAGGATGTGGCCCACAATGCCCAGCTGGGTTTTCCAAAGTGAATTTTTTATTTACTTTTTAATTTTTATGTGTTTGGATGTTTTATCTACATGAATGTCTGTGTGCTATGTGCATTCAGTGCCCTCAGAGGCCAGATGAGGGCACCAAATCCCCTGGAACTGGAGTTACAGATAGATGGTTGTTAGCCTCCATGTGAGTGCTGGGACCTGAACCCAAGTCCTCCAGAAGATCAAGTACTGTTAACAGCTGAGCCATCTCTCCAGCCCCTTATTGGGCTACAATTTGGTGATCCATTAGGAAAAATACTTTAAATTATGTATCACTGTTAATTGAATGTGAAATGCTTTACTCATGCTATACGAGGCTGGAGTAATTTAATTATGTTCAGAGTGTTTCTAACACTAGGTAATGGGCTGAAAGCTGTCTGGCTTTCTGTGGATTGCTCTTCTACAGTGTTGTGAACTCTTGGGTGTCCTTTATCAGATGTTACTAATGTATTTAGCTGGAATTCTGGAGGGATCTCTTATGATCTCTTTCAAGATTCATATTTTTGAACACAGATTGCATAACCTAAGATGATTTCCAGAAACCAAGGATGGGACTGTGAAATGTAGTGTGTGTTTAACAAATTTCCATGGTCACAATCATGTAGAATACAATGCTCCCGACAGGGATCTTGAAGGCTTCTAAAAGCCTGCTATCCATTGTAATATTGAAATAATCAAAAGCAGATGTTATTACCATCATTGGGATTTCAGATCTCCAGGTGATGAAACTTGGTTTAAAGGTTTAGTTTTGACCTTGCCTTCCTGAACTCAAGAAGTCACCAGCCAAAAGCCTCCCAAATAACTGTGACCAAAAAAACAGTGGCATATTGGGGGATGATCACAAGGGTAGGCTTCCTGCAGTAAGGGTCCCTTGAGGGACAGCCCATGGCCTCCTATCTGGGTAATCAAATCTATTTTAAATGTAGAAATTGAATTTTCTTAAAACTAAGAAACATACTTTTTTTCCAGAACCTAATATACTAGCTTCAAGTTCAAATTTCACTATATGAATATTTACTAACCATTTCTTTTTGTTTGCTTGCTTTTTATTTTTCAAGACAGGGTTTCCCTGTACAGCTCTGTCCTGGAACTCAGTCTGTAGACCAGGCTGACTTCAAATTCAGAGATCCACCTGACTCTGACACCGCCCCCACCCCCACCCCAGTGCTGGGATCAAATGTGTGTGTAATCACCACCTGGCCTTTTTAAAAAAATTATTTATTTTATTTTATGTGCATTGGAGTTTTGCTACTTGTATGTCTGTAAGAGGATGTCAGATCCCATGGAACTGGAGTTCCAGTTGCCAGCTGTCATGTGGGTGCTGGGAATTGAATCCAGGTCCTCTGGAAGAACAGCCTGTGCTCTTAACTGCTGAACCATCTCTCCAGCCCACTAACCAGTTCTTAAAGTAAGGTCAGTAGACTTTAGTCGAACCCCAAGGTACTTTCAAGGAGTCCATAAATATCAAGATTACTTTCATAATAATATTAAGGTATGTACTTTTTAGAAAACTTTTCGGCATGCATTTAAGTTTTAGAAACTCTAAACTTTATAGTCTAAAAAGATGCTATCAGTTGCTCTTGTATTTTTCAAATGTTTATTTTGGTTTCTCTAAGTACATGGTGAACTTTAGAGGAAGAGATTATATGACTAAAGTAGATGCTAGAGCTGTACAGATGGCTTAGTGGTTAAGAGCACTGTCTGACCTTTCAAAGGACCCAGGTTCAGTTCCAGCACTCATATGGTGGCTTACAATTCCAGTTCCAGGGAATCTAATGGCCCCTTCTGACCCCTGCAGGCACTAGACATGTACGTGGTACAGAGACATACATGCAGGCAAAACACCCACACACACATAAAAATAAAATAAATATTTTAAAAAGTAGATGCTATTACTAGTGGAATGGTGTTTATTTCACAGAAGTAATCACATATTTTACTAACCCATCAGCTAAAGCATGGGTGTAGTAGCTAACATTTCAGCATGTGGGAATCAGAGGCAGGAGGATTGCCATAAATTTGAGACCATCTTGGTCTACTACATAGCTACTTCCAGGCCAGTAGCAATGTAGCTACATAGTAAGACCCCATTCTTAAAAACAGAAAAAAAATAAGGTTTAATCCATTGATGTATAGATCAAATGATCTTACTTCTACGTTTTCTTTTTAAATTTCGAGAACAAAAAATAAACTTTCTGGACTAGGGGGAATGGCTCAGAGGATAAAGGCATTTGCCAACAAGCCTAAGGACCTGGATTCAATCCCCAGAGCCAACAAGGTGAGAAATGAGAACTAACTGCTGTAGGTTGTCTTTAAATAGCGTACACGTGTGTGGAGGCCAGCACTCATGTACGTATGTACACACACTAAGTAAAAACGTTTTTAAAAATAAATAAAACATTTTTGAGAAAACAGCACTTTCCATAATGAACTCCTCCACTATATATAATATACATCTTATTGTCAATAATCCACCAGCCACTGTCTCCCTTTGCCTTATTGTAGCCTAGCCTCATTCTCAGCATTATTATCTATTGGAGTTAATTCTGGGTCAACATCACGCTTTTACATCCACTTTTACATTTCAGTAAAAAGCTACACAGAATCATATCCGTGGTGCTGTAGATTAAACCCAGAATCCTGTGTATGCTAAGAAAGTACTGAGCTACACCACAGTCCTCTATGTATAATTTTTATGATTACATATGAATATTACATATGAATATACCTAAAAATAGATTCCATTTGATTTTTAAAATAGGAAAAAAGTTAGCTAGTGGTGGTGGTGGTTCATACCTTTAATCCTAGTACTCGCGTGGAAGAGGCAGGCGATCTCTGTGAGTTTGAGGCCAGCCTGGTCTACAGAGTAACTTCTAGGGCAGCCACGAACAGCTAAACGCTACACAGAGAAACCCTGCCTTGAAAAACCATAATAAACTACCAAACAAACAAATAACACAGGAATGGAGGCGATTGAAGGTGGCAAAAGCTACTAGGATATGCTGAAGAGACAATGACAGGTGAATCTTTGAGAAGCCAGTCTGGTGCATGCAGCGAGTTCCAGGCCAGCCAAGGGTTATGTATACATCCTGTCTTAACAAACAAAACGCTGGCAAGATGGCTTTGGAGCCTATCCTGGCACTCTCTCTGTAGATCAGGCTAGACTCGAACTCACAGAGATCCGCCTGCCTCTGCCTCCCAAGTGCTGGGATTAAAGGCGCGCGCTACCAACGCCCAACTGTCTCCTAGATGGTGGTGATGATGATGATCACAATGATGATGATGATGATGATGGGTGAGGGATGGAGATCAGTAGTAGATAGCTTGCCAAGCATGCACAATGCCCTGGGTTCAAATAAATAAAATTCGACTAATAATGGCAATAATAAAGCTTTACTACACATCAATCACCTTCATTCTTGTCATAATTGTAACTATTTTTTAAAAACTGCTGTTATGAGCCGGGCATTGGTGGCGCACACCTTTAATCCCAGCACTTGGGAGGCAGAGGCAGG